AGACGCGACCAAACGCATAGAATCTTCCTTTATCTGATGTCGGTACCATTTTAGAGATGTACATCATTAATGGTGCAAGTGGATCGCATCCTTTTATTCCAAGAAACGCTTCATCATCTTGTGGACCTTCATATAATAATTCTTTGGTATATATAAGATTTCTATGCCATGATGTTGTGCATACGCGATAGCGAATACACAATATCATGGCATAGAAATCGATAAAATCGGTGTAAGCAAACCTACATGTGCGAAATGTACAAAACAATTGGAAAGTCATGATGTAGCATTCAAGAATGCTAGAAATGACAATAACCATCTAAGAAATTGGGCTGGACCGAACGAAGTTACAGTTCAACAGTTACAAACTATACAACGACAGCCAGTGCGATTCAAATCTAATGGTTATCATCATAGTATCCCTGAGACACGCAACACTATTAGGAATGATGTCAAACAACAAATCATTCCGAAACCAACATGCACTATAACAGCTGCTTCTGTTTTGGATATTATTGAAGACATCGACAAAGATCCTTGCGCGCAAGCGAGTACATTCAAAACATATGCAGGCAAATACGAAAAACCGAGAACGGCAAGAGTTGGATATTGTGCTGGTGCCAGCGTTGCAGAAGCAAGTGCTGGTATATTCGGAGCTAGTGGTTCAGTGTGGTCAGCATCGGCTCATGTTGAGGCAGGTACGAACTATTCGGTTGGCGCCAATGCATCTGTCGCAAGAACAGAAGTACATGCTGGTCCTGTACAAATTGGGGTTGGTTTGTAGAATCACATAGGTACGATTAAGGCATAGGTTTACGATTAAAGAATTCTTTTCAATTTATTTTTCATACTACCAATAAACCTATCGCACTGCTAGTTTTATACTATCACTGGACTACTCTGTCGTCAAAATACTAGTACCAGATAAAATAACTAAGACGTGCTAATGTTTTCCACGATCCCTTGCACTAGAAACAAAACTTTTTATGTCATTAAATAGTTCATAGATGTGCTGTCCGTCTGAAGCTTAAACTCATATAGATGTTATACGCATGCAATACGAATCGTACTTTAACTTACTTAAAAGTACACGAAAGTGCTTCAGTGCCAACAACTACAAGCACCTTTTGTTGCAAGTGCAAGTATCAAGTCTCTGATACCAACCCTATTTGTGTGCACCCAAATGATGATTCACAAACAGGAAGCCAGATACATCAGTTGATGCCGAATGGATACAAGGTGATCTTGAAGCAGACTTACCTCAAGTTGATGGTACATTTGAATTATCGGAAGGTGTGAATTTACCATCTTCACTATCATCAATTGACATTTTCACGTTATTTTTATCATCGGATATTGTCGATCACATAGTTCAACAATCTAATTTATATCGTACACAAGAAAATTTAAAACAAGATCCAATGAATGATTTGGATTTTTATCAATTACTAGGATTTTTATTTTATACCTCATTGATCGGATTGCCTAGTAAAGGCGATTACTGGTCACAATTGTTAATGCAAGAAATTATTGCAAATAATATAACACGTAATCGTATTGATGAACTATTACGCACGTTACATTTCAATGACAATGTTTTGAATGCAGCGAAATGTGATAAAATCCAACCATTGATTGATCTATTCAATAAACGCTGTGCAGCATTAGTCGATCAAGAAGAACACATCAGTTCATGAACAAATGGTTGGTTATAAAGGCAAAACAGCTCCAATTTGGTACTTCAGCTCCATTTTGGTACAGTACAAATTTGGTACTTCAGGAATGGTGGTACTTGATTTACTTAAAAATGTTCCAGAAGGGACAAAAGGTTTCGTTAATAATTACTTTGGATCAGTTGCATTGATTTGAAAATTAACTGAATTGGGTTTCGGTATTGTATGTACATTACGACGCAATCGAATTGATAAGTGTCCGTTACTATCAGAAAAAGAAATGAGAAAAAAAGATCGTGGTTTTAATGATTATCGTGTAACAAATGATAAACAATGTGTATTGGTGGCTTGGAAAGATTTGAAATGTGTTCCAAGGGTTTTGGAGAAAACTTTTTAGAGACAAAAAGAAAGAGCATGTCAAGAAACCCCTAGGAACCAAATGACAACTTGATCTGTTCAGCCGTTTTTAACCCTTTAGCCCCCATAGCGGTTCCAGAAGAGCCACACAGAGATGAAACAACCATTGGGATAGAGTATTGGCCTCCCCAATATGCTAATGGTACAGATGGACCAGATACTTTGTCCTTTATGCAGGGTAGCTTGGTCACTCCAGTGACCATTGGGGGGGAACCACCTGAAAAAATCCAAGTTTCTTTCTCTTTATGAGAGAGCGTTGATTTTATAAAAATGCCATCGATTTCTTTATGTTTGACTAAAATGAACAAACGAAAGCTGAATACATGAAAGAATACTTTTTACAATAACACACGTATTTCTGACACACTTTTTAATCCATAAAATAGATATTTTTCAACTTTGAATGTGATAAGATTTAAAACAATTATGTGCAGGATGTACACATAGGTGACTGTTACATTTTGAACATATCCATTTCGTTCGTTGTTTACATCCTTCATTTTTACAACGTAAACCACTTTTTGAGGTTGAAACGTGGGCCAGTGATCATGTCCATCATATCTTAATCTATCGGACACACTCAGTTTTGATTCACGTTTTGATCTTTTATTTGGTGGTGAATAATTTTCATTTTCATCATCCGGTTCAGCTGACGAATAATCAACTTGTACAGATTGTAAGACAGATTTTGTAAAAAGCGTAGGTCTCTGTAATAGCACACATGCTATTTCAGATTTGAATCGAAACATACGTTCCAAACGCCAATTACCACCACGACCAAGTCGATGTCTCCATATTAACCACGAATTCGACAACGTAAGATCAAATACACGCCAAACAAGCCGCATATACCACTTTTTGGATCGGAATGGTATTGGATGTAAGGAACATAACATATGTCCGCACCACCCATATGTTTATTATATACACTGATAATTTGTGGTGCTGATATGTCCACTTTTTTCTGTTGATTCTTATCCCATCGTGCCAATTTCACAATTGGTTCTATTCCAACATAATTTGATCCGATAAGAACACATTTCAAATCTTTCCAAGCCACCAATACACATTGTTTATCATTTGTTACACGATA